AGAAAGTGTGTGTGTTTTTAAAAAAAAGCTAAATTGGCACTACACACTCCATTTATATTACACATAATGGCCATGACTCATATCAGTCAACAACTGTTACAATAGGTTGCCTTTCCCTAGTCCTTATCTTTTTAAAAAATACTACATTATGAATGGGAATCATGTGGGTCTCCAGATTTTGTTGAACTGTGACTCCCATAAGCTATAGCTAACAAAGCCAATTGTGAAGAATGATGGGAGTAGCAGTACAACAATACTTGGAGGACTGCATGATCCCTTCCTTGCACCAGACTAGTGGTTACCAACTTCCGGCCTTTCCTGACTATTGGCCAAACTAGCTAGGGCTTTTGGTAGCTGCAGTTCAAACCACCTGGTTGGGAACTATTGCTCTGAACAGTATTGCCCATCTACAGCTTGTCAATAGTTCAATTAATATCTGGGTTACAATACTCAAAATGTTGGAAACATCCACACAATAATCTCTTGATCTATGACTGTGTTGGAGATTATTTGGCCTGGGGGCCTACTGGGTGCCAACACCCATTATAGTCAATTATGAGGAATTCAAACATCTGGAGATTCAAAGGTATCCCATCTTTGAGCAAATATCAAATGTAGATAAAACAGGGGAAAGGGAAAAGGATACAGTGAGTCCACACTCTTTTTTGGTTAAATAAGCCAGTGAGAATAGCTCTTGGTTTGACTGGCTCTATATCTTTGGCCAATGCACAGGCCAGCATCGATTGCCTGAATTCTGAACCATGCACACACATGGGTATTAAACTGGGAGGGAAGAACATATGTCTTGTCTAGCAGCTATTCTGGCCTCATGCAATTATGAACAGTGAGGAAATGAGTACAGTAGAATTGGTACCATTTCCATATTGTTGGTACACACACCAATTCCATTTCCCCCTCACTGAGGAGTTGATCTGTTTGGCTTAACTGTGGGAAGACTGGAGGGTGGATGTAATCAATATGTATAAATATTTGAACATGAGAAAGCCACAGTTTCGTAGCATGCTGTTCAATCTTGCAGGCAGAGAGCTAACAAGTTCTACTACCTGGAGAAGTAATTGGACAAGCTTAAAATAAGTGCATTTCCTCACAGTGACAGTAATTAAAACACAGAAATTGCTCACCAGAGGAGGTTGGGGGGGGGGGGGGAGGGAGGGAGGCGATCACTTGAAGTCTTTAAATCAAGTCCGGATGCTTTTCTAATAGGGATGTGTTTAATCCAGCTAGGATAAGTCTCAGGCCTGCAACTTGCTGGACACCCACGTGAGAAAGCCTTTCTTTTCTTAAAAGAAAGTGAATATTCTTCAGGAATTGAAGCCATTATTAATTATTATTATTATTATTATTATTACTATTATTATTAACTTTAGTTGTACCCCGCTAGCATCTCCCGAAGGACTCGATGCGGCTTACAAAGGCCAAGGCCTCAAAACACAACATAACAATACAAAACCTAAAGCAAATTAAAACAGTTAAAGCAATATTAAACAACAAGCAATAAATAATACATCAAGACACTATAAAACTGGGCTGGGCCAGAGTAATGGGTACAGATTAAAAGTGCTTATGTGACAGATGATATGTAAGGATTATAGGGTAAGTGCAGTGTGCTAGCAATCTTAATTCTAATCAAGGGCTTCTGGGACTTGTTATTGGAGTTTTCCTATTCGGGGAAGGCACATCGGAACAGCCAGGTCTTCAAGTTCTTTCTAAAGACTGCCAATGTAGGGGCCTGTCTAAGATCTTTGGGGAGGGTGTTCCAGAGTCGGGGGGGCACCACAGAAAAGGCCCTGTCTCGTGTCCCCACCAAGCGCGCCTGCGACGCTGGCGGAATCACGAGCAGGGCCTCTCCGGATGAACGAAGTGAGCGCGTGGGTTCATAAACAGAGATGCAGTCACGCTATAAAACCTACAAATGGCCAAATGAGATTATTCTTGGGGGAAGTTACTTCTCCATCCACAGAGAAGTAACAGATAGTGGCAATGTAGAAGGTAATCCTGAAAAGCATCTAGACGTTTGACTATATAAAGCAGTGGTTCTCAACTTGTGGATCCCCAGGTGTTTTGCCCTACAACTCCCACAAAGTCCAGCCAGTTTACCAGCTGTTAGGATTTCTGGGAGTTGAAGGCCAAAACATCTGGAGACCCACAGGTTGAGAATCGCTGATATAAAGGAAGCATGGTTTCTTCTCCAGAGAGCCTATCTGGCCAACCAGTTGATATAGGATATATCCAGGAGAAGGAACTGGCAAAACTACCGCTGACTATTCCTTGTCTAGAAAAAGCCTGTGAAATTTATTTGCAATTTATCAATATGTCAACAAAAAGCCTATAGGCACAAACAAAAAAAATAAATTTTTTTAGCAGCAGGAATTTGCATTTCTGCCTCTTGCCTTGGGTCCTGCATTAGGAGAAAGGAAGGATATAAATCAAATAAATAAGTGAAAATATGTAAATAAACAAATTGCTTCACATGCAAAAAAATCTGTCTCAATTTCAATGCATTACCCGCCTACACACCTGCATTTTCTTCCTATCCTTTTCAGCACTTAGTTGCAAGGCTGAGTTTTTTCCTTCCTGAAAATTCATGAATACTTTCCATAATGTATGCTCTTTTTAGCACATTTTTCTTCATGTATGCACCTTAATCAAAGTTATCCCATTGGCTAAAGTTTGCCTCTGATACACATTTGTACTTGTGTGCATTTATTTGCATACAATTTGAAAAAGAACAAGAATGAGAAAGGATGTGATGCCTAAGGTTTCCTCCCAATGATGGGAAACCAAAAAATATATATGTGCAAGCCTTTGTTAAGAAATGTGCAGACTGCAAATTGAATACAGTACATTCATAAACAAATCTCAATAATGAGAGTTTCTTACCCATCCCAAGTACTTTCCATTTGAAAGTTCACAACATCCCTAATATCTAGTAAGCCCTGTGCCCAGATATAACTCGTTTGATGAGTGTGTGACTGTTTTCAGCCTGAATATCTCATCCATGGTGATGAGATATTCACTAAACCAGTGGTTCTCAACCTGTTGGTCCCTAGATGTTTTGGCCTTCAACTCCCAGAAATCCTAACAGCTGGTAAACTGGCTGGTATTTATGGGAGTTGTAGGCCAAAACACCTAGGGATCCACAGGATGAGAACCAATGCACTAAACCATCTTATTTCACATCAGTGCAATTAGAACAACCTCACATCCCCCAAATTTCTGTCACAAAAACTGGGACATGTGTGGGCAAGTTATATCAGATGTAGCCAAGATGATAAAAATGATTAGTAAAAGAGAATATACAAACTAGGATCAGCTGCTGCAGTTTGTTTTGCGTGTTTCTATTGGGAAGAAGACAATTCTCCTCTCCATCTCACTGCGTCAAATGAGTACAAACTCCTTTTGTGCTTTGAACTTAGCTTGAAGCAATACTGAAGAAGTAAAATGGGGGAAAAGAGGGACACAAGAGGAGGAGAGAGAAACTGGGATATTTTAAAAGCAGGATAACAAAAAATTAATCAGAATTCTCTCTGCCAAATTGGGAGAGTTGGAAAGTAAGCATCCTGTTCAAGCTAACAGAGGTAGGGGGAGCTGTTTAGTTTGAGGTCTTATTCTACTGGGTGAAATCCTACCAAGAATAATAAAGTAATGCTTTTGTAGGATTAATCAAATTCCAGAGTGTGCTGTGCAAGCTTTTCCAAGAGTTCTTCCTAAGATTGGAGGTCAACTCTTCTATCTCTACACAAACAATCTGATTTGGAGAAAAGACTATTTCTGGGGTCACAGTGTTTGGTCATTTCTCTAGTTAATGTAGTTAAATTTATAGTTTAATTTGGTTAGAGGTATCTTTTGTGCCTTATACAAAAAATCTCTTTTTAAGCAGGGGCCTATGGGGACAGGAGGAATGGAGATTTTTCTCTGAAAAGTAAAGAAAGGAAAACAAGAAACAGCTGTCATCTGACAGTCAAGTATTAATTGATGTCTACTCCATCCATTCACATACTCCTCAACATTAATGCCAATACACATTTGGATATTGAAAGTCTAGAAATTACAGTCAAATGAAAGGTAACTGCAATATCATTTTGTGGTTCACTTGAAAAGTTTCAAACCTGCATAGAATTGAAGCGGCTGACCTCTATCTTGAACAGAAACTGGCTGGTTTTGCATTTCAGAGCCTTTGTTTGCAAAGCAATTACAAGGAACCAGAAGCTGGAAAAGGGAATCAAATATGGCTAGTTGGGGACCCCTGGTCTAACAAAAGTGCTGTCACAATGGCTTGAGCTTTGAAGGGAGATTGGTTCAAATACTTGATAACAGCCAGCTACATGGGGAGAGAGGCCTGCTGAATAAGCAAATGGTGGAGAGACTGGGCTTTGTTGAAGAGGTAGAATGAATCTGTCTGAGTGAGATCCAAATTCAGATTGCCCTAAGAAATCTTCCACTTCAGCTTTCAGAATTCATGAGCTCCGGAGGCTAGAATTTTGTTGCTGTCTGCCTGCAAGTCATTTCCAACTTATGGCAACCCTAAGGCAAACCTATTACAGGGTTTCCTTGGCAAGATTTGTTCAGAGAAGGTTTTCCTTTGCCTTCCGCTAACTGATTAAGTCCATAAGGCAACACTATTTCCTTTGGACACTATCACACTCCCCACCTTTCTGCCTTTCCCAGAGTGTGAAAAAAATCAGGCATCTTATATCCTCCGTGTGACCTTTACATGAGCTAGACAACAACTGAGCAGTCCTCCGCCCCATCCAGCTTTTCAAAGCTGCTATGGAAGAAAATAATTTGATTAAAGGCCAAGAGTGGTCCCTTAGCACAAGCTGTGAGCTGGAGACGACACCATGCCCCAGGGGCTTTGGCTACTATGGGGATAATGACAGGCAATCGCCTGCAGGGACAAGCCTCCAGGCAGGAGGCAGGAACATCCACTGCAACTTCAGAAACCCTTTGGGAATGGAGAAAGGCCAGCCATGACGTACCTGTATTCCAATGAGAATTTGGTCAGCTCCCTGTTGTCGTGCAGCCATTTGAACTCAAGAGGCCAGCTGCCTTCTGCCATGCAGGTCAGGACCAAGCGATTACCCTCCAGATGGACCTGAGTGCGCACCGGCTCTGTCTTGAAATATGGGGAAACATCATCTGCAGAGGGGAAAAAGTGAAGAGGGGTTAAGTCCAGGACATTTATCCCTAGATATAAAGCACACAAGAACACAGTTTGTCTCCCCTTTCCCTCTCCTCGCCATATCCTGTGTATTGCATAGTGAATTTTTGATATTAAACAGAATGATATGTATCATTTTGTTTAATGCCTATCGGGCAATTCTGGAAGGATATATGTCCTCTTATTTCCTAACAGCATGCGGTTCATCCACCCTATCCCACATCCCACTCTTATTTCCTACTGGTCACACATTTAGAGAAAGCCTGAACTTCATTGTTCTCTGTAAAAAGTATTGTCATTCTCAAAGAATAAGCGACGATACAAAAAGAATGTTATAAATTCAACAGGGAGTCAAAGATCCCCCAACAAGAATCCCTTGTATGCTCAGCACTATTTTATTGTAATCTTTTTGGGTCACGGGTATGTAAGGGGACTTGCTGCCATGTAATAGGTAAAATTTACCAGATAAGATGTGAAAACAGCATAACATGCTAGAGATAAATTTGCTAATATGGATACCCTTTAGAGCAGTGGTTCACAATCTGTGGGTCCCCAGATATTTTGGCCTTCAACTTCCAGAAATCCTAACAGCTGATAAACTTGCTGGGATTTCAGATTTGTAGGCCAAAACACCTAGGGACCCACAAGTTGAGAACCACGGATGTAGAGGATGTCACAGAGGAGACAGAACAAACTACTGCAGGTTTTAACAGGGTTGGCAGTAAAGATAGGGAAGGAGACATTTGGATTAGTACAAATCCACTGGGGAAGGAGGGTGTAACTTTTCCCCAATCCACACTGTTTTCTTGTTTAAAATTACCTTACCCCTGGAGTTGCTGTTACACCCTCCTTCCCCAGGCAACACACATACGCAGTAGGGTGATTTGTTTTCTTTTCCAATTCTTATGATTCTATTAAAATACAAATGTAATGTTTTTGCCATGTGTTCTGTTTTCAGGCCCAGTGTGAAAGTGGAGATTACATGAAGAATTAATTGGTAGATGTGGCAGGTATCAGATTATCTTGAGAATACAGTGATGAGACAGCGGTGGCCAATGCCATTGTGAATAAATAAATAAATACATCTCCACAGTTACTCAGATTTGCCTATATTCTTCAACAAAATCCAAGGTCCCTTCTGAAACAAAACAGCAACATAGAAAAACAGCCATTTTTATATTCTCAAAGATAGAGACTAAGTATGTGTGGTGATTTAGGTATCAGTTTGCAGCCAAATTTTGCAGTGATCACCCAAGCTCAGAAAGCATGAAAAAAGCATTTGCTCTACATTTCTCAATGAGAATAAATAAAAGAGTCTAACTCATTTTTTTGGCTTTTTGTCTAGACAGTGTTACGAGGACAGAAGAGTAATGTTTAGTTTCCATGACAAAATATTTTAACACAAGGTCATTCAGATTTTGTTTCCAAAAGAGACACAGCTTTTGTTTCAAAGTACAGAATCATTCTATATCAGATCCATACTGTATACATAATACATTGAGGGAAACAGGCAGATCATATTCTGCCTATCATGCTGCATGGCTGCTTCCATTACACAATGCTGGTTCACTCATCAGTAATCACCAAACTGAATTGCTGTTATTCCTGCAAAAGTAAATCCACTGTCACTCCCACTAACAAAGATGGGTTAGGCTCAGGGCTTTGAAGTCCCCTGATCATTTGAAAGCATTGTGGGATTTCTACTCCAGATTTTGCACATGCACCAAACTGGATTAACATGCAAGAAAAACTCATAAGAACTTGGTAACTACAGGAAACTGAGAAAAAGAGATAGAAGAAAGGAATGGTTATGACATTTTGTGGCCATTTGATGGGTCATTTGATGTTTTATATGTTTAGTGGTTGAGCCAAGCAGTTTTGTTTAAGAACAAGGCAATAATTTTTTTCTCTAGCAGCAGGTCCAACCTTTTTTTGACCAGGGACCTCTTGAACAGGGACCACTTTGACTAGGGACCACTCTCCAACATTAGTACCAAAAGGCTTATGAATCAGTTTTTGGTCAACTTTAGATTCGGTTTGGTTATTTGGGGTCTGATTGTGAAAATTACATTGGATAGACCACATCAGCTCTAGTTTGTGATACAGAACATATGCCATCCAGTAGTCACCATCTGCTTGCCCACGGAAAACCATATTTAATAATCTAGAGCTGATGAGGTAGTACTAATCTTTCTCTCCCTTCCCGACATCCCTGTTGCCTCAGCACTATAAGAGGGTTTTGCAAGACCAGTCACCCTTTTTGCCACATGGTTTCGAGGCAATGATGTAGTAATAGTGCGGCCACAGTCCATATTTTCGTGCTTGGGGACCACTGGTGGTCCACGGAACACAGGTTGGGAACCACTGTCCTAACATCCTGACTGATACATTCTTCAAGCTCTCCATGGTAATAACAGCATTGCTGGGGTATATTTTGATGATGCTGGGACTCCAACAAATAACATAATTAGACTATAACATTGTATGTTGTCGTTTTAGGGATGTAATAAAAACCAGAGGAACAAAAAAACAAAACATTTGGGTAAGATGATAATGAGATCGACTAGACAAATTATGGAACCTTTAAAACTCCTTTGTGTTTGTGTGTGTGTTCATGCATGTGCACATGAACCTTCAAGTCACCTTTTGAGTTATGGGACACCTATTAATTTCATAGGATCTTCTTAGGTAAAGAACACTCAGATTTGTCATTTTCTAAATCTGAAATATTAGCCTGTAGGCACCTGGTACTCCTTGGTGGACTCCCTGCTTTGCTTCCAAGATCAGACAAGATCCAGGGCCTTTATACTCCTTTCCAATATATGGGCATTTTAAAATGTTAGCCAAGTAATGTATGTATTCTTTGCCTGGAAGCAATCCTGACTACTTTTCTGCTCATCGCCTCTTGTTCTTCACCTTTGGCATTATTAGCTCCTGTCTATAATCCACTAGTCAATTCCCCAAACCTAAATTTCCTCTTTTTAAATGCTCTACTTTCCCCTTCAGTAGGCATACATGTTGCATCCTCCTGACCACTGCAATTTGCTGAGAGGAACCAGAAAGCCTTGCTTTCTATTTTTACCCTGCATTTTAGAGCCTGAGAAATAGAAGCCAAGCCAATGACTCCCCGGTCTGTGGTTTCGTCAGTGCAGTAATGGGTTGAGTGCGCTCTGTTATTCTCTTCCTTGTTGGCTGGGCTGTGCAAACCATATTGAGTTAAATATGGTAGCTGGCAACCAGCTGATTCTTCTGGATGGCTGTAGGAAGGAAATTAAAGGGAACCTTTCCTGTCCCTGTGAGCATCTGTGCATGAAGAAAGGCACTCGGAGTGAAAGACGGGCAACCAAGAATATGGACTCTTATTCACTGCTGTTTTGTAATAGTACCTCACCATCTGAGGCATAATTTTAAGGAAATGAATGAAAATCTGAATGTCTCCACTGCCAGAGAAGAAGGATCTTGAAAGATTATTATTGAAATGAAAGGTCTGTAACAACTTTTTCTCCATTTGCAGCAGAGGTGCCCATTGAGATGGGGAATTTGAAAGAACCCAATTGCAGGCAGAAAAATAAGTTTAGCATATTCAGCCGAAGGAACATCTATAAGGAAATACAATTTTGGATAGAAAAAACCCGATCCTTTCTAAACTAATCTAAAAGAGGAAAGGATGGGAGAGAGACATGTTGTGGTATGTCCTGCCTTCTCAAAGAGCAGAGCAGGGGGGTTCAGTCTGGCCCAATTCCTTTTCTTTTACACCCCGGACTGAATCAGATCATGTATTTGTCCAAAATGATGTTGCGACAGCTGGCTGACTGGACAAGGAATAGCAAGCAGGAAAGGATGATAACAGATCCGAATCCCTCTCTAAGGGCCCTTCCACAAAGCCATATAACCCAGAATATCAAGGCAGAAAATCCCACAATATCTGTTTTGAACTGGGTATCTGAATCCACACTGCCATATATTCCAGTTTAAAGCAGAAAATGTGGGATTTTATTCAGCTGTGTGGAAGGGACCTCATCTGTCTTTTTCCTTGATGTGGACTATAAACTTGTGCAGGATGTGGCTGACTTCCAACAATGATTACATAGGAAAGCCTGGAACCAGTTTGAGGCCTGGATGATTACACAATTCACAGAGCATTGACCCACATTGACTCCCACACACTTTTGTGGGAGTTTGTTGCCTGGTTTCCACAGTTTGAAACTAGCTTCCAACTGCATTACATTGCTGGTGTAGATGGGGCCCAAGTAATTCCTAATGGACAAGAACAAGTGCAGAAACTACTATTACTTCCAGGACCGATAAAGTACCTCGTTCACTCCAACAAGTGGGTTTTCCATTCGAGTCCACCAAAGGAAGTAGCTCACAACAATTTTTACAAGACCACCTATTGAGTGTAGTTGCAAACTTAGGGCCTTTCCACACAGCCATATAACCCAGAATATCATGGGCAGATAATCCATAATATCTGCTTTGAACTGGATTATCTGAGTCCACACTGCCATATAATCCAGTTCAATATGGATTTTATACAGCTGTGTGGAAGAGGCCTAAGATACGGGCTGGATGGGAAGGGAGAACAAAGCTCTGCCATCCAACTGAAAAGACATCTCTTTTGTCTAATGGAGATGATTATTCCTCATGAGAGATTATTGTTTCTCATTAGGGGAAACCAGACAGACAGTCCATCAAATTAAGAATTCCAGCGATCCACCTCGTTTGATTGTAGAAAAAGGTATCCTTGTGCAGATCCTCTGCATAAAAAGAAATCAGTCATAAATACTTGCAAAGGTTTGCAGGATTATTATTACACACCTAGAGAACTGAATTGACATAAGCTAACAAAGCTAGCTCTTTCCTGCAACTGACATTCTGTGCCATATTGTCGACAGTGACATGATTTTGACCCATCCAGCATCCCTGTTCCTACCTGAGCCATTTAGTAACCATATCAACTAGAGCTTAAAGTCCATCT